GGAATGACTTTTTTGTCAATTAAAGAATACCCAGATAGAAGTGCTAAATAGCATTGTCATAGTTTACCTTAGTAGTTTAGGAAATATTGTAGTAAATAGTATAATATATGCTATATTTTTAAAATTATATTTTATTGATTATGCTATTATAGTTGTCCTGATTTTTCTCCCTTTGCCTCCCTCCACCCAACACCCACCACTCCTTCACCATTGTTCATGCCCACGGTCATGCATCTAAGTTCTTCAGCTACTCCTTTTCTTATACTGTACTTTACATCCCCATGGATATTCTGTGACTACCTATTTGTACTTCCTAATCCCCTCACTTCTTTACCTATTCTCTCATTCCTCCCTACCATCTGGCAACCATCAAAATGCTATCTGTTTCCATAGTTCTGTCTCTGTTCTTCTTGTTTGTTGAGCTTGCTTTTTAGGTTCAATTGTTGATAGATTTGTATTTCCTGCCATTTTATTGTTCGTAGTTTTGTTCTTCTTTTTCTTAAATGAGTCCCTTTAACATTTCATATAATAATGGTTTTGTGATAATGAACTCCTTTAGCTTTTTCTTGCCTAGGGAACTCTTTGTCCGCCCTTCAATTCTAAATGATATCTGCTGGGTAGAACAATCTTGGCTCTATGTCCCTGCTTTTTGTGACTGAATATTTCTTGCTAATCCTTTCTAGCCTGCAAAGTTTCTTATGAGAAATCAGCTGACAGTCTTATGGGAACTCCCCTGTAGGTAACTAACTTCTTTTTTCTCGCTGCTTTTAAGAGTCTCTTTTTATATTTAACCTTTGGCATTTTAATTATGATGTGTCTCAGAGTGGGCCTTATTGCATCCATCTTGTTTGGGACTCTCTGTGCTTCCTGGACTTGCATATCTCTTACCTTCACCAAATTAAGGAAGCTTTCTTTCATTATTTTTTTCAAATAGATTTCCAATTTCTTTTCTTTCTCTTCTCCTTCTGGCACCCTTATGCTGTGACTGTTGGACATCTTGAAGTTGTCCCAGAGGCTGCTTATACTATCCTCATTATTTTGGATTCTTCTTTATTCTTGTTTTTCTGATTGGTTGTTTTTTGCTTCCTTATGTTCCATGTCACTGATTTGATTCTTATCTTCATCCACTCTACTGTTGTTTCACTGTAAACTGTTCCCTATTTCAATTAGTGTATCCTTAGTGTCTGACTGGATTTTTTTATGCTGTTGAGATCCTCATTAAGTTCCTTGAGCACCCTTATAACCAGTGTTTTGAATGCTGTATCTGATAGATTGCTTATCTCCATTTCATTAAGCTCTTTTTCTGAAATTTTGATCTGTTCTTTCATTTGGGCCATGTTTCTTTGTCTCATTTTGGCAGCCTCCCTGTGTCTGTTTCTATGTATTAGATAGAGTTGCTTTGACTTTATGTCTTGGCAGTGTAGCCTAATGTCGTATGTGTCCTATAGGGTCCAGTGGCACAGCCCCCGCTATCACCCAAGCTGGGTACTTGAGGTTGCCCTTCATGTGGGCTGAGTACACGTTCCTCTTGTAGTTGAGCCTTGGTTGCTGTTAACAGATCAATGGGAGGGATTTATCCAGGCCAGTCAGCTGCAAGGACTGGCTATGACCACTTACCACCACCCTCCACCCTCCATGGACGATCATCTGTCCAGGGTGGTGTGGGGATGCTCCGATGCTGGGTGCACAGGCCCTGGAGTTTCCCAGGTAGTGCAGGCTAAGGTCAGCCTCCACCTGCGTTTTTCCCAGGGCCACCCTTCATGAGCTATAAAGCTATCAGAGATGGCTACTACTCTTTTTCTTTCTAATGAATATGTCATCTGTGGGGGAGACACTTTGATACAATGGAATTATCTTGTTGCTTTTTAAATTCTTACTTAATAATTTTAATACCCAGGGATGATTCTGGTTTGAATCAGTTATTACTATGAAGGTTGCAAAATGATAATTTTCTAACTATAAATTTCATTTACCTAACTGGTCAGTGCTCTCTGCAAGAAAGAACTTTCCTTTCTCCGTAGTATTTACTTACTTGCTTACTAACAGTAAGGATTTGTGGACTCTTTCAGTCAATTGTCTATGATCCATTCTTCCATTGTTCATTTTGGTGCCCCAATTTTCCCATATTTTCTCAAAGGACCCCTTCAAGTTGTCTTCTCTGTCATTTTTAAATGAGATCCCATCATTGTTTGAGCTCTCCCTTATTTTCTGGCATAACAAGAAGTTATAGTTCATCTTACTCTTTGCCTGCCCCAGTCCAAGATCCGGCCATTTCTCCAACATGATCTGGCTTCATTTGGTGAGAAATTATACTTTAAAAAACAAAATCTGAATGGTAGATATGCTTGTCTACTAGGGTGTTGTTAATTCTAAGCATACTATAAAATATACTCTTTTAAGTGCATAGTTCAATTAATTTTGACAGATTTATATGCCCATGATCAATATTCAGTCTTCACTGTACTTGATCTGTTAGCAGCATTTGAGACCAAAGATCACATCTTCCTCCTCGCAACACTGTCTTCACTAGGCTTCCAAGCAATGGTACCCCCCTTTTCTCCATTCCCCTGGGTACTCCTCAGTCCCTTTTGATCTTCTCTACTCTTTTCCATACCACTTAAAGTTGAAATACTGCAGAATTCAGACTTGGATGCTTTCCTTGTCTGTGACTACACTCATTCCCTAGCTAATCTCATCTGACAACTCCTAAATTTGTGTTCCTAACCCAGTCTTCTTCCCCAAGCTCTGGATTTTACAGCCACTTATTTCAACTTGACAGCTTTACCACGTTTTCAAATAGACTTCCAAATTCCACATATGCAAAACTGAAATTTATTCCACACCTGTTCCACCTGCCCCCTGTCCCATCTCTGGTGATGGTAACTCCATTACCCTGGTCATTCAGGCCAAAAACTTGGAGGCACCCAGAATGTATTCAAGATCCCTTTCCTACACTCTTCACTGCTCCCCCATGGTGTGAGCAGCCATAATCTCTTGCCTTGATTATTTCAATAGCCTCATAACAGGCCTTATTATATCAAAACTTGCTCTCAACACAGAAGCCAGGATGACCCATTTTAAATGTAAGTGTGATTGTGCCCCTCTTTTGCTAAAAACTTTGAAGTGGTTCCCTGTCTCATGCAAAGTAGAGCCCCAGCTTTTGTTGTGGTCTACAGGGCCCTGTATAATTCTCATGCTCCTCCCCCTTTGCTCTAAGACCTCATCTCTTCCTCCCCCACTTTTTTCCCATCCCCACCCCCATGGACTCCTACTGCCCCTCCCCACTGCATGCCAGCCTACTAGGGATGCTTCCCATTCTATGGTTAATGGTGCTGGTCCCTGTGTATGGAAGACATCTTCCCAGATGGCTACTTGGCCATATCCCTCATCTACTTCAAGTTTTGATTAAATTATGCCCTTTAACGAGGCCCACCATAACTACTCCAACACAGAACTTCTCATCCCCCATTCCCTGCTTTCCTTTTTTTTTTTTTTACCCATTGTACTTACCACATTCTAATACATTTTTATAAATTTCTTCTTCTTTATGTTTTTTTTTTTGTCTGTCTCTCTATGCTAGAATGTTAGCTTCATGACAAGAATGATTTTTGTTCTACTCACTGGGGCATCTAGAATTGAAATATCTCATCAAGTATCTAGAACAGTGCTTGTCCCTTAGTAACATTCAAAATATTTTTTAAATAACTGAATCAATCATCTCATCCTGTACTTTTGACTTGATAAACTGATGCAAATGAGTGAGAACCCGCTAGTAGAACTGAGTCCTTGTGTGCCATTTTTAATACTGATGTGTGCCTAAACACCCCGCTTTCGTTGTACTCCTCTTAGTTCCACATACACTTGTGTGTCTCTTTCCACACATGAAACTAGATTCTTTTTTTTTTTAAATAAGCCAGGCAGCATTTCCAGAGAATGGTAGGTTTTGTCTGCCCTGAATTACGCCTTTGCATGCATAACACAACCTAAATAAAACACTGATGTGGGTCACATGCTCACTGTCAATGGGGAGTGCCACATTGCTAAGGAGGCCCCTGACCACTGTTTCCTCTGCTTCTGGAATCCACTCTGATTTTGAGATCTGGGGAAAAAGGGGAGAGGGGAGGAGACATGAGAGACACCAACATTTCTTTATATATAAATAGTACACTTTCCTACTAGAGTGTTCAATTGACTCCAGATCCAAAATTGGCAGCAGATGTCACTTACGTGGCCCCACAGTGATTCACAGAATTTCAGCTGAGACAAGACATCCCTTGACAGGCATTCAAATAATGTGCTTGGGGTATTTCGGGACAATCACCCCGATGTCAACAGTCAAGTTTTGAAAGGTACCTGTGACATGAGTATCAAAATATCTCTACTGACAGGGTCAGACTTTTGTGGCCACCAGCAAAAGAGAATATACTCCACTAGGAAGTAAACACCCTGTCTGCTTCATGTCAGGGGAATGTAGGTCACTTTTAGGCTGAGATTATGGGTTCCTTTGCCACTGATGTTCTCGGAACATTAGGTAATATTTCCTCACGTCCAAGCTAGTGTATTCTCAACTCTTCTAATTCAGGTGAAGGATTTGCTCATACTAGAGTGAGTGTAGGATGAGAAGCTGACCTAAATTATGGAATATCAGTGCCAATAGAGCAGAAAAAAGTTTAATTGTTCCTTTAAATGCATGCAGAAGCATGCAGATTTCATTTACTAAGTATATCAGCACCCTTAATAAGAAAATGTAGTTTTATTTATATGCTTTGTCTTCCAAAATTACATTTTAAAAAATCTTGATATTTTAATGAATGTAATGTAGAAGAAATACTGTGTTTTTTTCTAGAAGAATTCCAGGTGTAGAATTAAATAGACTATAGTTAAGAAAGCATTGAGAGCATCTTTAAAATTTCTCTCCTTTATAATACATTGTATTTTTACATAGTGGAGAAAATAGGGCTTTTTACATATGTAATTTCTGAATTTGATTACTTTCACAGATACAGCACACTCAGGGGAAATTGGCACCAAGAAAAAGGTGAAAAGACTGTTAAGCTTTCAAAGATACTTCCATGCATCGAGGCTGCTTCGTGGGGTTGTACCACAAGCCTCTCTCCACCTGCTGGATGAAGACTACCTTGGACAAGCAAGGGTAAGCCAGCCACCCCTCTATACCTCACAGAGGCCAGTGGCCGAGAGCCTGTACCTCCACTGGCGGAAGGGTTGAGTCCTACTTCTGACTCTGAGATGCTCTGTGACTCTGGCTAGCACTCAACATGTCTGGACTTTTTCCACAAGTACACATGTACTTAATAGAAATATACATCTCACAGGGGTGATGCAGAGATTAAATGAGATAAAGCATGTTTGCATGTTTGACATATTCATATCTAGCTATATTCATTTTTATAAATATGCAAAACATATTTGCAGAACACTATGAAGAGTAAAATTTTTGACTGATTACTAATGAGAAAATAGCTAAATTTTTAACCCACTGAATTATCTCTTTGTAATAGCTACAGGGAAATGAACCCAATAATTACCAACCCTTCTATTTTAGGCCAGCAATATGATGCATTATCCTTTTTATACTTTTTAATTCATTTAAATAATTTTTACTAATTTTACAATTATTTTTGCAATTCATTGGTCCAACTGAGGGCAGAAATTAATGTGTGACAATCTAAAAAAAAAAAAGTCACAGACAATCTCTAACCCAAAGTGCCAAAGGAATTTAAATTTTAGACTTAAATTGCAACTTCTGTTCATGATGTTGGAGTAGGCACACATGGCTTGCCTCTTCATACAGCCACACCAAAATTACAAATAAAATATAGAACAACCATCACCCAGAACCATCAGAAATTGAGTTGAATTGAAGTCTGACATCTATGATATTAAAGAAACCACATCCATCTGCACTGGTAGGAGGGGCGCAGACACAGAACAGGCTGGTCCTTCACCCATGTGTGGGGGATAAAAATTTGGGAGAGATATCACAGAAGCAAGGAGTCCCAGTCCCATTCCAGACCCCCCAGCCCAGGGTCCCAGTGCGAGGAAGGTAAGTCACCACAGCTTCAAAAACCAGTGGGGACTGAGTTGGTGGAAGAAACTTCTGGAGCCCCAAGCAGTTCATCTTAAAGAACCCACACATGGAATCACCTGCTCCAACTAACTCCCTCTGAGCTCCAGCACCAGGGTAGCAGCTTGAAAGGCATCCGTGGCATACTGGGAAAAAACTGAAGTGTCTGGCATCAAGGCAAGCAGAGGCCATTGTCCCCTTTTCTAAGCCCTCCCACCACAGAACCACAGAGCTGGCAAGTGGGTATCATATCTGAGGCTCCATCAACCTGGCTAACACTGTTTGGCCTTGGAGATCCCCAGGGACTGCACCCCGCCCAATTTATGGGCCCACCCAAACTGCTTTTCCATATGAATGGCTGGTCTTGGCTCATGCTTCCCAATTTCCTAAATCCGCTGGAATAAGAAACAGCAGGCCTAAATGAGTCCCAGGCCTGGCTCCAGCAGTAGCCAGCCTATATTCATGAGTTGGTTTCATCTGGGAATCTCCAAGCCCAGCACAAGTAGCAGCCATCTCAGATTGCTTTATAGCTCAGGCAGGGTGGCCCCAGGAAAAACACAGGTGGGAGCTGACCTTGGCCTGCACCACCTGGGAAACCCCAGGGCCAGTGCACCCAGTGGACAGCTACAGACCATGTTGGAGCACTGCCACCCAGCCCCTGGACAGATGATCCTCCATGGAAAGCAGAAGGTGGTGGTAAGTGGTCACAGCCAGTCCTTGCAGCTGACTGGCCTGGGTAAATCCCTCCCATTGATCTGGCAACAGCAACCAAGACTTAATTACAGAAGGGGATTACTCGGCCCACATAAAGGGCAACCTCAAATACTCAGCTTGGGTGAAATGGGAGACTGAGCCACTGGACCCTACAGGACACCTGCTACATTAGGCCATGCTACCAAAACACTGAATCAAAGCAGCTCCACAGAATACATAGAAACAAACACAGGAGCCTGCCAAAACAAGGAGACAAAGAAACATGGCCCAAAAAGAAGAACAGATCAAAACTCCAGAAGAAGAGCTAAACAAAATGGAGATAAGCAATCTATCAGATATAGGTTCACATTTAGTCCCACACTGAGCAAAATAATGTGCTCAGCAATCATTGGACTTCATTTAATTAAAATTTATTGTAAATCTTCCTTTAGTGAACAGTAGTTTATGATGTAGAGACTTTGCTGAACTATAATTTTAACAGATATCTAACATGTGTGTTCTTATGTACAAGCACTGTTCTAAGCACTTATATTACATATATTTATGTTTACATATACTCGTATTACCTTATTTAACCCTTACAACAACCCTCTGAAGCATTACTGTCAGCCACATTTTTCAAATTAGGAAACTGAGATACTGCAAGGTTAAGGAACTTGCCCACAGTACCACAGCCAGTAAGAAATGTGGTTGACATCAGACCAGGCAGTCTGACCCCTGAGCCTGTCCCTTTAACACTATTGTTATTAGCCAGCAGAGTAAGATTTCTTTTACTACAAACCAGTTGTACATAGATAATCAAATGCTACTGTATTTTCAACTTTTTAATTGTTTAATTCTCTCTGTCTCAAAGTGAATATCTGAGTCTCCAATATGATTCATTTGAATGTTTTTGTTTGTTTGTTTGTCTTTTCAGCATATGCTCTCCAAAGTGGGAACGTGGGATTTTGACATTTTCTTGTTTGATCGCTTGACAAATGGTAAGTCAACCAAAAGAATTCACACCAAAATATGCACCATAAAATGGAACTAATTTCATGAAAACAATATTTATTTTTAAACATTGTCATTCCTCATTTCTTCTTTCCCCACTTTCATATGTCTACAACCACTCAGGAAGGACCAGGGCAAAGGAAAATTAGTTGAAATGAAAAAATAAAGACTGAGTTTGGCCTTAGAATCTTAAGACAGTTTCCTCTGGCCTTGATGATCCCAAAGGAATTTGAAAACCACAGATTAGATTTTGTCCTTGCAGAGTACTCTGGCCACATATAAAAGGAGGAAGTTCACTGTCAGTCAATGAAAATTAGAAACACGAAAGCTCAGCCGATCAGTCCTGACTCTTGCAGAGCAGGTGTCTCTGTGCACTTTTATTAAGTGAGTCAAATCTGCCCTGTTGCAAGTATTGTTCATATATGTTTGGCATCGTCAGCAGAAAACAATTGCTTAGGATTAAGTGTAAAAGCTTAGATTGCAGCTAAAAGGAAAGTAGATATCCTCATTGGTTTCACTTTTTAAATTTTTTGTTCAATGATTTTTGTTCAAAAGAGTATAATCATGACTCTCATAGATATATAAAATGAATGCATGTCAATGATTCATTTAATTCAATTAATTAGAGATTTGGTAAGATGCTACAACTCTTTTGAAAGGAGAATTCAAAGAACCCCACATATATAAGTAGTAAGAAACACTTACATGAATATATAAATAGCTATAAAACTGAGAGAAGGAAATCAATTGTGTTTCCATCTGAGTAATTTTGGTTCCATGTATATGGACAAGAGTCACTTGAAATGCTATCAGTTACCTACAACTTTCATTGTTGCAAAATAGCTCAAAGACAATGAAAGTTGCAGAAACACACAGAAGCAGGTACCCTGGAAGAATATGCTTAAGGAACACCTTGTTTTTCACTTAAGTCATCTTCTTGGTCTATTTCAGTCTTTCATAAACTGTATAATGCTCTTAAAATTTGAAATCATTATTCTTTAATAAATAATATTCCTTCAATGTTTACATGTTATTGTAGCTTCAATTCTTCATCTCTGCCAACTTGAGTTATAAAATATCTCATGGTCAAGCCTCATCTTGGTGGATACCAAAATAGGCAGATTCCTTATAATGCCTTATAACTCTTAATGTTGCTAAATACTCACTGCCTTTGGTGTAGATCTGAGCGAATTGTACTTATGCAGTAAGAGAAAACCTAGTATTGGATCATAGTAATAGTATCTTTTATACTTGAATAATTTCAAATTTAAAGGAGAAAATAAATGGTCCTATCAGAGATCTTTCATTATAGAAAGTTTTGATCTTGTTGTCAAGCTTGATAATTTAATGGTAATAAAATTAGTTAAAACTGGTGACTATTTACCTCCAGGAAACAGTCTGGTAACACTACTCTGCCACCTCTTCAACACCCATGGACTCATTCACCATTTCAAGTTAGATATGGTGACCTTACACAGGTTTTTAGGTAAGTCTTTCTTGTTGTTGTTGTTCATATTCCTACCTCCTTTCCCATAAGTATTTGCAGTCCATAATATTCTTTAATATAAACTGGCAGGAATCATAGCATGGTATGTGAAGCCTTCCTATTAATCTTAAATTATCTTATCTTCATTTTGAACTATGGTTAACCCATTTAAATCAGTGACAAATCATATTTATTTAATTAGTTATATTTACGGTAGATAAAGGCTATACAAAGAAAACCAACAAGAGCATGTAGTCAAAAAAGTTACTGATCCATTCACATATCAACAAAAGTACAGTAAAATATGCCTCAAATAATCCCAATCTGGACATGAGTTGTTGAATATCTTCAATAGTGGGCATTTAACATAGTGCCCACTGAATGCTGGAAGCTGTTGGTATGTTATTTCTGACCATTTCAACAATTCTGCAAGTTGGACATTAACACCACCATTTAGCCCACAGTTAAGAAGAGGTTCAAAGAGGTTTTGTAACTTGCTCAAGGTCAACAACTTACAATTGGCAGAGCCCTCAATCCAAACCCAGGTGTCACTGACTTGAAAGACCACCCTCTTTCCACTTACCTCCACCACCACTCTCCATCAGAAGCAGCCCCAGTTCTCATCTGATTTTACGTGTATTCTTATTTATCAGCCGGTGAATGAACTACCCAGGACATGTTTTGGATCACATCACTTTCTGCTGTCACTTAGCATGTTTCTGGTGCCTTTGACTTACCCGATGGATGTGCTTTGAATTCAAAAGCTGGCTTGATGCTGTCAAAACTAGAATAACAGTGACAATAACAGCAACAACAGTAGCAGAAACCAAGCTTCTTTGGTGCTGGGAACTCTTCCAAGGACTTGCACATATTAGCGTATTAAATCCTTATTGTAGCCCTCTGAGATTAGAACTATTGTTATTCTCACTTTATAGAGAAGGAAACTGAGGGTCCTTGTGGTTAAGTAATTTGCTCGATACAAATAATCAATAGTGGAGCCAGAATTCAAATGTAACTGTAAAAGAAACCTGCAGAATAAAAGGTATGCAAAGCACAATAGAAATTTTTGAAATCAGCCACAACGTGGCTCAGTCTCAGAAACACAAGTAACCTCAAGCTCATTGAATTTAGCTTTACTTGAGCAAAGTAACGGCCATGACTAAAGCCAATAGTTCTGGTTTGCCTAAAGAGGAAGAATGCAGATACTTTGGACATGTGTATGCACCCAGAGTACATGTGAAGAACACAAAAACCTGATGACAAAAATAAGACCAAAATCCAGGGCCAAACTCACAGCATGGGCTGACAAAATATGGCCACATTTGCAAATCTGGACATTCTATACACACTGATTATATTGCATTCCAAGCATTGCCTTGGTTATTAGCTGAAGCAGGCTAGTGGCTTCTGTAAATAGCAAACCAAAATTGCCTTGCTGATGTCTCTACTTGGTTCCAAGAGCACTCCGGTCCCTAGATTAGAAGGGCATGAAAGATGGCAGCTTAATCTGAATAAGATAGAAATAAAGCCACAGCGTCCTTATTTGGATTAACATAGTACATTGAAAATCTGCCTGAAGAAACCCCAGATTTGCTTTGGTCAGTATTTGTAACTCAAATGGTAGATCCACCTTTGGATATCAGGAATTTGATGCTACCTACTAGGGCTGTTTAAAAGGAAACCTCTTTTATGGCATAGTATTCATAAATGGCAGCAAACTTAAATAATTAAACTATAGTGTGAAATAAAGTTGTCCTTTTCCTACATATTTATTTTACCTATGAATGAAAGCCTTCATGAATGCCAGAAAGGGTGATTTATGAAGGTGGTGAGGATTCCCAAGGGTCTCACAAATCCTTTTAACCTTTTTCCCCTCTGCCCTCCCCTCCTCTCCACTGAAAACAGCTCAGTAGAACAGCCAAGCTTCTGAGCCATATTCATTTTTAAAGAATCCCCAAGGTGCATATTTTGGAGACATGAACATTTTTAAGCAAAAGGGACCGTCAGTAAATCAGAGATCATATGCCCTTCCTGTTTTGGTTTTACCTGATTGAGTTATCTGTTTGCCTCCCAGTCATGGTTCAAGAAGATTACCACAGCCAAAACCCATATCACAATGCTGTCCATGCCGCCGACGTCACCCAGGCCATGCACTGCTACCTGAAGGAGCCAAAGGTGAGTCCAGGCCTGGCTGCCTCCTCCGCCACCTAGAGACCTGTGAGTCCCAAATCACCCCACACATCAGAATAGTTGTTATGGGTCATTCACAACATGAATACAATTGTTTATATTAAAGTTCCAGGATCAGCTGTGAAAACTCATGAAAGAGGATGCAAATTTTCTGTTGCTTCTTTTTATAATTCATATGAAAGACTGCATTAAGCCAAAAATAACCCTCCCCATGACAATCTACATCTTAGATATCTTCCACAGTCCCAAGAACTTGATTTTTTGTCTTGAATCTTTGCTACAAATGGAACCAGCACTGGAATCTTCTGGGAAAATTTCTCCACCTCATGGTTTTTGATTGACAAATAGAATCAAAATTCCTTCAGGCTCAAGCTCTATTTCCTACTAAGGCAACTGGACATCCTGACTCAGGCCCAAGAAAACTTGAGACCATCAACGACTTCTTAGCAGGCATACTCTGATGTAATAAACCAATCCAAAATTAAAAACATGATAATAGTTCTCGTTACTCAAAACCAAGGCATTTCTTAGCCGTATAACTGTCAGTATGACATACAGGATGAATTTTCCATAAGGTTTTTGAAAATAATATCCCAGTCCAAGACTGTTTAGTTCAATTAGTTTTAACATCAACCACTGACTATCCAGACTCCAGACAAGCATTCCCAAGACAAAACTGGGTAGATACTTAATCCATATAAAATAGCCCAAAGACATTAAAGGTTTTGTTTTTTATCTCTAGGTAGCCTGAAAGTTGTATATTTAAAGTTAGTACTGGATTCCGATTCCCTTGCCTGTTTTCCTAGCTAACCAAAAAGAAAAAAAAAAGGTTCTCACCCCCCGCCCCCCCACTATTTACTACACATTGAAGAAACATGCCAATTTTACAATTCAGCCCACTCTTGATTTCATATTCAAAGAAGTGACAATGATATAGTGGATGGCTGAAATATACAAATGATTTTTTTATGTGTCCATCACTTTGGTTTTAACTTTTTACTTCATTTACAGCTTCCTCTGGGAACAGGACTGATTTCAGGCTCTGCCTTCTCCCAACCCACTAACAGGCAACAGCACAACAACAAAAGAAAACAGTGCCTCTAGGAAAGGGAGAGTAGCTGAATGGTCTACACAGTTTGATTTGCTCAATTAGTTTCCACCCAGTCCTTTTTTTCCTCTTGTGACTCTTGCTGCTTCAGAGGGGAGAGGCCTGGAGGATGAAAGGCCTGAACAATATTGTGATACTTCATTTGATTTGATTTAGCCAAATCAATGCTAACCTATTTGTGAAAACACAGCCACTGACCTCCCAATTTGACTTTTTTAACAGCTCGCCAGCTTCCTCACACCTCTGGACATCATGCTTGGACTGCTGGCCGCAGCAGCACACGATGTTGACCACCCAGGAGTGAACCAGCCATTTTTGATCAAAACTAACCACCACCTCGCCAGCCTATATCAGGTAAGGGAGCTGCACACTGAGCCAGACACCGTATGGCCAGCTGCCGTAGATCCAGTCCCAGAGCCTGAATCTCAGTCTTGGAGACAGCTTCATTCAGGGTCAGCCTCAATGATGACCACAGCCAAAGACCGTGGGTTTGAAATAGGTCTAGGATATCCCCCCAAGAAAGATTAAATTGGTTTGTAAGTATATCCAAGGAATTTCATTTGCTCCTAAGAAGGTTTGAGGTTGTATGAAGTCAAGGAGGATCTCTGAGGCTAATCACTGATGGTCTGAGAATATCTGTCTCCCTAGAAATTATCTCATATGTAGTGGCCTATTGAAGCCAGGCCTTGTAGGACTTCTATAAATGGTAGTGCTCGGGTATAGTCCTAATTCAGACATATGTCTCTAGGACCATTTCTGAACTTTATGGGCCTCTGAGTCAGAGATATGTTATCAAAGACAATAGATGTTGTGAAAAAAAAAAAAAAAAGTAGTTCAGCAACACACGTAGATTGGCCAGGAGAACTTTCACGCAGGATATTGTTTCAGATATTGAACTCTACATCATAAATGAGTTACTCCCAGAATTTTCAAAAGGATTCCTTGGAGACCTTTGGTTGTCATTCACAAAATCTTTACATAGAAGGAAATTATTGACCTCAATTTTAGTAGAGCTTTTGAAAAAATTTAGTGCTAAAAAAGTTCTGCCAGATCCCCATAAAACAACTGCCTTATATAAGATGCTGCAGCATTTATTTCCAATAAAGCACAATGGAAACATTTTCAAATGCCTTTCTCCATACAGTTGATTAGCTTTTGGCATAGGTAGAAGCTGGTGTTCCAAGGTCTATGGCTCCACCTGGTATGTATTTCATCACTGGGCTCCCCTAGCCCATCGGCCAGCACCTAGAGCTGAGATAGATACGGCCATATAGCAGGGACAGAATGGCAGAACTAAGAAGGTCTTTTAGTGATGGGCTAAAAAAGAAAGACTAAAAGTAAACTTTCTAAGCCATGTCAGACGCTAAATTTACTGCTTAGGAAAAACATAGATTCGTGACTGGGAGAAAACAAATTGAGTGACTGAACCCAGAGCCCCCAAGTAAATTTGCTGTTCCTGTCAATTCTGACTCTTTTTCAAAAGTCTTTTATTATACAAAGGAAATCAATTAACACAATTGGCTACTTAATTTATTCCCAAATAATGTAAATTCTTACATAATTCTAATTTCTCATCATCAAATAAATCATGTCAATGGAGTTTCAGAGTATCTACTGCTACCAGGTAATGTATACATAAAAATGAGGGTCATAAAACTGTACTTTGACATGTAGTATATATAAAACACGTGATAAGTTCACATTTCAACAGAAGTCAAAAAGAACTATGCCAGATATTAAAGACATAAATAATGAAAAATTAAGTACTCACTGCTAATTAACAAAAATTGATTCTCAAAAGCATGATACTCCCATCTATCTTCTTTAGATGCTAAAAATGTTCTCAAAAATTGATTCCTTACTCAAGCTTTTGAAGTACAAATACTTCTTAACAATTTTTGTTTTAATCTCTTTGTTTAAAATAAACATTCCAATACAACCAAATTCTACAGCCTTTTCAATGCAACATATAGTTTTGTATATTTTTAATCAGCAACTATTTATTGCATCTACTAGATAATATACTGGGATCTAGAAGTACAAACATGAATCAAACATCATTTCTATCCTCAAACATTTGTTCAAACTCAGATGTGCAAAATCCAAGAAAACCTAACCCCAGTTTGAAAAAGGTTTGGCTAGTCAGCTAAAGATAAGCATATAGACACAACTTTTTAAAAAAGTTTTTGTGTTTTCTCTTTATTTTTATTATTGACACTATTACAGATGTCCCCACTTACCCCACCCCCTTTGCCCGCCTCCACCCAGCGCCCACCCCTATTTCCCTCTGGCCATCACCACACTGTTGTCTGTGTCCATGGTTATACATACATGTTATTTGGCTAATCCCTTCCCTTTCTTGCTTTTTTTATTGTTGACACTATTACAGATGCCCCTTTCCCCCCACCATTTGCCCCCTCTGTGTATCCAAAGCTATTACTACAATAAAGTGAGCGGTTAATTTTTCTAACAGTGAATTTATCAGCATCTCATCTGTATGGCCTAATCTCTGATAGGAAAGAAAAGGATCCTTTTGATAATGACTAGAGAAAAACTAGGATATAGGACTCAAAAACCACATTCAAAATACTGTCTTCATCAGTGCCCTGCTCCTCTGGTCTTAGATCGCTTGGAGGCTAGAGATCCATGTCTTTCCATTATAGAAACAATGTTGAAGTCAAACCAGTATCACAAAGTTACTTCCAATATCCTAGGACTGACTAGGATAAAAAATGGAACTTTTATCAGCCAAATGAGATTTCAATTCTGCCCCCAAATTTATGCTGCCTTTAATGTTTGGCTATATATCATTATTGACTTTGTGAAGGAATTCCAAAAAGATAAATTCCCTGTAAAATTTAGTTTAACAAATTGTGTAACTAACCTTTATTCAACACTCCATATGATTCAAATGCTATGCTAAATGCTTTTAATGTATTATATTATTTGATCTTCACAATAGCCCAGTTAGGTGGACACTATTATCATGCCTATTTTACAGAAAGATGAAAATGGATACTTAGGAAATCAAAGTATTTTTCCTAAAAATAAACAACTAATTAGCGACAAACCTGGGATTGGAACTCAGGCCTCTTGTCTCCAGAGCCAAAGTACCTAAGCACTCTACATACTGCCTCTAAAACTCATATTAATCACTTACTGTATGCAGGAATCTAAAAGCTCTCCTCCAGGTCGTCCTATAGCTTTGAGGGAGACACGAGCATTAGAGACAAGTAGCTGAGAGCAAGAGAGACTTTGTCAAGTACTCCACGGCAGATAGGTATCATACAAACAAAATATGGTGGGAAGACAGTAAATGATTCTGCAAATGATTTCTGAAAGGAAAAAAACTTGTGGAGGAAGAATGGAGTAAACTAGTCCTTGAAGTGTAATATTTTGAGTAACATGTCGGGGAGTAATAGAGGCAGCCCAAGAAAGTGTGCTTCGGGATTAAACCCACAAATCCATAGTAACTGAAAAGGGACTGTCCCTATGACCTTTAGTGGAGCATGGTCCTGCCATGAGCAAACCTTGCTCTCAAGTCAGTGTCTTCGACATAATCAATATTATGACTAAGCGTGTATTCTGTCTCTTGTAGAAACTCTAGATTAGCTGTAGGATCTGGGTCAGAAAATCCCCACTCTGCATCAAGCTGTAGATGAGAACCTGGCATAACTCCTCAGGTTTTCAATTTCTAGGGGAAAAATCATAGTACATAGCATACGAACTGAGCAAGACCATTAACAACATATGATGTTTTAAAAATTTTTAGAATGTAGCCTTTTAGCTTACCAAGGGCCTGTTGTTTGAGACATAAATGAGCTTTCAGTAAATTAAGTGCTGATTTTGAGTATATACCTATGCACATTTTTCTAGTGGGAGGATCCATCACATAGACTCATACTTTAAAATGAGTTATAGGTTCAGAAAATATTAAGAACCATGGAAATGAGTGAAAATATATACATTAAACAATATATTATGAATATATATACACAAATTATACAGGAACACACACATGCACATTCGTTTAATGAGAATACAATAGAGAAGAGGTGCCAGGAATTATGTGCTCTGCGAACACACAGTACGTGACTGCCACATCCAGACTGACTGTAAATGATATAAAATGGAAGAGGGCTTCCTCTCCCTCCTTTTGTTGGCTGCGTTCTTCTGGTTCGGATAAATAAGCTCATTGCATAACGCCCAGCCTGTGCGTCTGCCCTGATATAAAGAGAGAGCCAGGCAGCTGGAGGGAAGGCTGGGTCGGGGGCGCTCTCCCCTTGTCAGCTGTCTGAGCTGGACTCCCTAGCTGAACTGCCAGCCCAAGTTCAACATGAAGGCGATCAAGGCACTTCCACCTGGCACGTGTCTCATCAAAAACAGTCCAAGTGTCCATGGTAGACTGAGAGCATGTGAAAAATAGAACACCAGATTTACCTCCTGTCCCTGTACCCTGCAACCACATCCCCCCGCAAACATGGGCTCAGCAATTGGGCAAAGTAAGCATTAAATCAGATACCATATTGGTTATTACAGTTGCAAAAGGAATAATTTTCAGTTCAATTTAAAACTGAATTCCTTTTGATAGCGTCCAACTGCATTTAACCAGTAGCAGAGCAACCTAATGAATAAAATAGTTATTAATTGCTCCATAAGATATTATATTTAATTCATTTTATATTGGCTTGCAGAAGTTTATGATCTTTTTTTTAGTCACTTATCACAAGCACTTAGAGGAAGGTCAGCATTTTAACCACTTTTTATTCTAATGACTCAGAACCACAAATATAAAGTCGGCAGAACCAGGAGAAATACTCCTTCCACATGGTCCTATGACCTCTCCTCAGGCAAGCAACTGCAAAGGTTATTATTATACATAACCTCACAATTTCTGCAATAGGAAAGGTGTTTGGGGCAAGTGGTGTGAAAATTGTAAAAAGGAGGCTCAAATTTGATTTTCTGCTTTTTAAAGTTTCTGCTGTGGATGGTGAGGCAGCTGGTATGTGGCACGTCCGTGGCCCTGATCTGAACGCAGGCCTGCCCCTTGGACAGCGACCGATGCCCAGGCTCCTTGCTCTCAGAGCAGTGACGTGGGCAGGTGTAGATGGAACCAAAGGGAGGTACCTTCAAGCAGGCAGTAAGCATGGCAGTGCTGTCATTTCTTCAAAGGCCAAGGTCTTGTTTAGGGCTCCAGGAGCTGAGTTCCTCTGAGACCTCCTGGGCTGGGACTCTCACAGGGAGACCACTTGGCCTGTTAGGGAAGAGCTCAGCCCCTTCAGTATCTCCTAGAGTCTTGCTTGTCTGTTTCGTGAACAATTAAAACTGAAAACACGGAGTGTGTTCCTATTGGT